TGGTGACAATCATGACTCGTGCATCAACGTACGATCAAAGTCATGATCATCATTCATCAGCACGACCTTAATACAGATAGAGAGCTTCTCCAAATTCCTCTAAAAATATATAGAATTCATTCCTAACTAGTCCTCTAACATTATTCTGTACTAGAGGAGATAGAATGATTATAGTTACAATTCATGAGTGTGAGTCACAGCAGTAGCAGTCCGACTGCAGCCACACTGTGTGACTCTGATACTTGAGAGTTGTTGTTAGTTCGTCAACCAGTAAAGATGTCGAAGATATAAAATGACAGCTGTAGGAATAGATCCGACGACCTCCCGAATCGCAACCACAGCCCTTATCCACTCGAACAATTAAACTTACTTCAACTCCATCTCTACCTCCTTCAGCTCTTCACTCTCCTCATTTCCAGCATCCATCTCATAAGCTTCCTTCAACAACTTAATACCTGATCATCACGGACAAAACCTCCCCGCCAGGATTAGAACCAGAGACCTCGCTACTTACCAAAATACAGGAACAAGGCGATGCACGTATAATGTGTGAAATTTTTGCTCAGTAGAGTTGGCAGTAGGAAGCCCAAGGCAGCAGACAATACCTACAATGCAGTTTATCATGAAACAGTTAACACATTCCAGTGTTAGAAATTATGCACATGATCATCAACTGCATGTGTTGGTGACAATAGGAAATTTCGGAAAATCTCATACGGGGTTTCTGTACATTTCTACCCGAGTTCGTATATAGACTCCTATAATTAGTGGAGGAAACTCAGGAGAGCGAACATTTATTTTTCCGGGATACGTCCGTGTTGGAGGAGAAAGTTTGCTTTCCTCAGCTGCGCTCACGAGTTTTCTCACTGATTATGGGAGTCTATATACGAACAAGGGTAGAAATGTACAGAAACCGACTATGTAGTTGATGACCATATGCATATTTTCCCCTCACACTGCTTCCCGAGCGACTGAGCATCCCTACCCCTCCTCACCGTCATCAACGCCAGCGCTCCTATTGCCCCCAGGAAAACTATGATGTGATTGTGTTTCATCGACAACACCGCTGCGATGAAGAAAGTCTTATCGCCGATTTCTGCGCACAATATCATCAAAAACGATGCCAAGAAGGCGCCCAAGTAACCGCTGCCAGCCATCGCTGTTGATAAACCTGACATGATGTTAACCATTAGTGGTAAGAACAATCAAACTCATAACATCATCAGAATCGCTGAGATTTTGTAGTCGTGCACTCTGCACTACTTCATCCCCCCTTCCCCCAGAGAAAACGTAGTATCGTAAACCCAAAAAATATTCAAAAAATGGTGTGATAAAATTAGTGTAATTATCAACAGCCATATCATCACCAACACAGGAAATAGTTTAAAATACTATGACCCCGCTTATACGATTTTGAGCCCTCCACTACATCACGTATTCGAAAAATGGTGTCTTTATCAAGAAAACTATGAAGTCTATTATCTGTCGTTTTATTAACGAATAGGAAACTCTTGATGGAATGTAGAGATTCAACCAACAATTTGACTCCTAAAATCATCGTAAAAACTGCAAGCTAAAGCTGTGGAATTTAACGACTACCCGTTTTACGTGAAGTGGCGGCCTAAAACTAGTAGTCGTGAAATATTTCATTCCCTAGTGTTTTTCATATCACTAGGGTGGTGAAACTCCAATTTGCTCTACAAATGCCAAGAACCTGCGTTTTCTATTCAGAAATTGATGATAGTGAACAAACTGTCGCTATCACAATTCCGAAAGAAAATTACTCTCATCACATCACATGTTCATATTTATGCGATATACTTCCCATTAATCTCGGAAAATAATAACACACATTCGCATTTCGAATTGGCACACATTCTCCCTGAGAATCTATAATTTCCATTCCAGGAGCCGCACAGAGAATTCACATCTTCTACGCTCACCTCCAACACACTAGCATGTGCAATACTCAACACAATTGGCCCTCCCATTATTCCCACTAATGTGATTCTTCTGCTAATACATCCTAGGCTCTTCTTTCCCATATAATGCGGATATATTCCGTGTTGAGTTGATATTCCACATGCATATTTAGTCCCGACAGAAAACACCTTCATTTTCAATCGCGTATCAAAACATTCCAGCTCAAAATAATCGCTTCAGACGTTGATTTTTACTCATTGTGAAGTGATGCCACCCGAAATAGATTCTGAGTTTCAGAACTAGTCTCAGATCTATAACAGGAGTGATAGACTCCTAAGGGAAAATCAAGATTTGGATGGACATCTAAAATCACTCGCTTGGGTATGAATGTTAAGGAAAGAAGACACATTTCCTTCCCACTTCTTCCGGAAGGCCCTTTAGAAAGAATTAAGATACGTTTAAGGTCGATCGCTGTTCACCACGTACGAAAACATTTCTCCTTATTCACAGGCGGACCACACTCATACCGCTCTCCACTGAACGTCTCTCCGATCAGATGGAATACCACCCTGCGAAGCCTTTGCTAGTACCTTCCATGCTGCGTGTGAGAAGACCCTGAGACCTAGAGCCATTCAAGCCTGCATCCTCCTCTCCCGCTGCTGCTGCCATCAGCAATGCTAACGTGGTAAGTATTGAGGAAAACATATTAACTCTTGATGGGAACACTGAATAGTGTTAGTGATGATAACACTAAACTGCATATAGTTGTCGCAATCCTGCGAAAGACGATTGAGAAGTGCTCAAGATAACAAGATACAAAGCGTGACCGATATTCACGTGAGTTCGTAGCTTTTTGCTAAGAAGACCGATCCGCTCTGAGAGGAGAAACGAGATATTTCACCCCTCCCTCCTCCCACCCAGCAAGGGATCCCTGGGTCATCCAGCGTGTGTGAAATACGTAATAGATCTTCGTCCGCATGTTCAATCTCAAGCTCCCAAAGCACATCCAAGGCCCGTCGCAATCGACCCAACCCAGGCAAAACCTTTACTAGACAGTCATCTCGTGCAGTGCGCACCTTAACAGGTCTCATGGAGAGTGCACGAACCACTAGGTTGAGAAATTCTGAGAGATATCAAGTTATCAAGATTTAAAACGGTTTCATATGCGGCTGTTAGATTAGCAGTGCTAATCGTTCTCTCGCTCAATCGAGGTTGACCGACCGCTCGACTGAGGCTGATAGCCTACCCTTGAGGAGGGTCCTCGGTGATGCTTACGTAGACCCGGCAAGCGTAGGCCGTTTTCTGGGCTTATTTTTGCTAATCTCATGATGAGATTCTCATCTAGTGGTACTGTAACTATTCCCACTACTGCTCTAACCAGAGGCCAAGCCAACGCTCGACTACCACTAACGACTAGCACTACTACTACTGTCTCGACTAGTGGCCCTGTGACTAGCAGTACTACTACCTTACCTAGTCCTGGGACTAGCACGATTACTGCCTCCAAGGCAGTGCCTCTGCCAGTGGTCCTCCCACTAGCACTGCCTCTGCCTCGACTAGTGGTTCTGTAAGTAGCACCACTATTGCTTCAACCAGTGATTCTGTGACTAGCAGAGCTATTACCTCACCTATTCGTCCTGGGATTTCTACGATTACTGCATCAACCAGTGGTCCTATGACTAGCACTAACTCTGCCTCGACTACTAGTCGAGGCAGGACCACTACACCTTTTCAATCTCAAATCTTTTGTCTACTACTACTACCACTACTACTACTACTATGATTATTATAGCAACTCGTTGCTATGTAACTAGCTTGGTTTACCTCAACTTCATCATTCCCTTGACAGTGCTTGAGTATCGCTTTAGCGAGGGAAGTGGGATGTATCGATTCTGTCATCAGTGATCACGAGTGACAACACGAATTCGGGTCTTCTCACGTACTTAACTTCGTTTGCGTTGAACAGTGTCCAATGCTGTGATTTTATTTAAATTATTTGGTATAACTCTGTGACCTACTATGATGACTAAAGGATTATTAAATCGCTAGTAATGATGCCATTACATACACCTTTATTACTGTCTAAATCATGCATATTACCGTCAGAATATTAGACTCTTCCCGATTTCATGCGTATTATTTCTGACATCGCTATCTCGATTGGAACGCGTGAGAAATCTAGAGTGGTTCGTAAGTTACGAATCGTTATTAGGAAAACTGAACCAATTACATCAGGAAAATGCTTCCTCAAATACAAAGTATGTTCTCGATATCAGTTGTTTTCGTGTCGTGCGCTGAGTCGGTGATGCCGATTCGTCTCGAGCGAGATTCATTACATACCAATAGCACACCTCTTGGACACAGTATGGCAATCTCAAGCTATTGCAAGTATACTAGCATATGCCTCAAAGAATAGCTGTAAATTAGTGCATATAGCCCGAATTTATAAGGTATTGGCAAGGCAATATAATTTGAGGACGCGACCAGATGTGTAGATGCCCCCATGCTGCTTGACACCAAACATAAAGTGGTCCAAGTACCACTCCTTTCCGAAATTTTCGAAATGTTCGAATTCACATGTTGATGCGTGCGTATGGCGTGCACAAAAGTATCGTCAGAGCAGTTTCACGGGAGATAGGAGATTTTTTTACGGTCCAAGACCATTCATCCGAATGGAGAAGGGAAAGATGTATAGTATGGTAATCATAAATCTCTCGCCAAAGCAACGAACCGCGCGACTTCAGCGGTATTTCTACCAACGTAATCGCATCTGTCCGGTTCCAGAGAAGAAAGGCCAAAACAACGTAATCTGACCTCTCTAAATCTGGGACACCTAAAGAGTCTATGATCTACATCA